GGCATTTATGCGAAAAGCAAGCAGCTTAGCCCTGTGCTCAATGCATACACTTCTCTCTGTTGCAGCTCTTGGTGTGCCTCCGGATACTGACCCGCAGGTGCGTCCATGACAACATCGCGAAGGAGGAGATTCCGAAGCTTTTCCCTGCAGAGGTGTTGCCCGAGCTGCAAAGGCTGCTCACTTTGCTCCTGCAGAAGTTTCAGCCGGAGTGGCGAGAGGACACCTTAAAGGATCAGGTAATACAGACCTGAGCAGCAACGAGGGGCTGTCTTATGAACATTTAATCTGAAAAGAATGCAATTGATCCAGTACTGAGGTCAATAGTTAGCATGTTTTTAGCTTTATCCTTTTCGTGGTGTTTGTATCTGCTTGTTATTGTCTGAAGGATCTGTGGTCTCAGTTTAGTGTGATGCGTTATTTTGTAGGCATCCGCGGCGAATTCGGGAACAACAAAAGGCCATTTGAGTAAAAATCAAGACGCGTTAGAGCAACCAGCTACTGCACAGGTTAGTTCAAACAATTGCTATCATGTGCTTTTGCATAAATGCCTTGCCATTTTGCTGGAAGTTACTTGATCTGTGAGATGCTTATTATTCTTTTGTATGTGAGAGTTCAATGACTGGTCTCTGAAGCTCTCCGTTAAGAAAACTATTTCAGTAGTTTTTGGGGTGCAATCAAGATATATTTGATGAAAGGTGTAATTCGTGTGAATCATCATGTTCCCTGCAGATTCACTGTGGTGCATCATCAACAAAGGTGTCGTCTGAATCAGGAGAGAAAGAAGGGAAGCTACAGTTAGCTAAGGATTCCTTAGACAAAATGCTCAACGATGTATACCCAGTCAGGGGCAAAGTGTCAAATGCTGTGAGTAATGATTCTTTAGACAAATGCAGAGCGTTGGCTGATTTATTTTCCCTTTTGCAATTTAACGTTTTTGCAGACTTGCAGTGAGTAATATCAAATGTTTCTAACCATCTTTTGCAGGGCAATACCAACGGGGGTCATGGAGAAGCAGCAAGAAGCACTTAGGAAAGGATGATTGTGCTGCTTCTTTTTTAGCTCCGAGGGCATTTTTTAAATCATTGGTAGATAACATCTTTGCAACTAGAATTATTGTGTTCTTTATCAGACAGAACGCAACTTCTGCCATGTTCTTCGGTCTTTACTGGTCTACGCCCTAGGGTTGATGGCAACATTGGAAATAAGAGCATCTCCAACAGCAGCCTATTTTAATGCATTACCGTTTTATGAGCTTTTGGGCCCCCAACCCCCCACAAAAACCTCCAACAGCTGCTCTTGTTGGAAAATTTTGCAAAATGTTTTTTGTGCAGCCCAAAAAAAGGCAGCGCCGGCTGTGTATTTGCGGCATGCACACGGCTGCTGCAAACGCAGAATCGAGCCACGCGCAACCCAACTGTTGCCATCCGGAACATTCCCGCAGCCAATTTCCCTCCCGCGCTGCCATCACCCCCAGCGGATCCAGACACTCCCGCCACAGCTGCACTACCATGATGTCCTGATCTGTCGTCCCCCTCCTCCAATCGGCTGCACCGCCGCCACAACACCCATTTCCACCTGCCGTCACGCCGCATCGCCCCACTGACAAATCTGCACTGCTGTTGCGCCGCATCTGTCGGATGTCGTCGAAACGTGTGAAGAGCAAGTTCAGCTACCGTGGCATTTAGCCACTGGAGTTCGGCCGTTTCAGCATCGAGTTTCAGCGTGACGGCCGACTGTATTGGCTCGGCACCTTCGAGACGGCGAAGATGGCCGCACGCGCCTACGACATCGTTGTGGGGAGGCTCAGTCGGCTGTGGCACGAGATCAACTTCCTGGTGATCGAGACGCGGGCGGATGTGAAGTTCATCGGGCTGCCAGTGACCAGTGAGTCCCGCCCGACAAAGAGGAAGACCCGCATCATCCTCGAGTAGAGGGACGCCAGGGAAACCAATGAGGCGGTGATGGCAAGGTTCACGAGGGCAAACCCGCACCTCATGCAAGCGAAGGAGTTCTTCTGAAAGAGGGACAACGAACACAAGAAGGCGGAGCGCAAGACAGAGGGACAACAAGCTCGAGTTCGGCAACAAGGTTGAGCTCGGCAATGAGCGTGACGAGTCTGACAACATTGACTAGGACAACCTGTAGGGTGTTCATAGGAGTCTATTGTAATGTTAGAATGATATAGTAGTTTAGATGTTCATTTAATATATGCAATGTTTGAATGTTCAAAACTTTTAATGTTTGAAGTGAACTATGCAATGTTTGAATGTTCTAAAAAAATTATTTGCATGTTTGAAGTGCCCCATTTTAGGGCAGCCGTTGGAGATGAAGATTTTCAATTGCCCAAGTCATTTTTTGGTGCCCTAGAATAAGGCTAAGCATAGCGAACATGCTGGAAAATAACCCTATTGAAGAAATAGGACAACTAAGCACTAACCACGATAATTCTCCATCGAACCACCTGCTGTTATGCCCAAAAATTTGTGGTTCATGCTCAATGCTGACACATTCTTAAAGCACTTCAAACATGCATTCGTAAAGCACAAGTCATAGCGATTTCCTCATATCATATCAGCCAACAAAAGCAGTTATTCGTAACGCTGGTAACAAACCAACACAGTTCCATGACAAAGTCTATACGAAAATCACAGAAATTAAGCTGCAGTAGCTTTATTATTTGGAGATATCATGGACTCAGCTGGACCAGCGTGCTGCTTGTTCTAGGCACATCAACATACTTCCTTCACATTTTGGATCTAGATACGCATGATGTATTCTGTATTTTGATCCGATGCCAAGATGTGTTGAGGATTCCTCTCAGATTCCATATGTCCTCCACGTTTTCGGGTTGAATGTTTGCGGCCGAATCCACCTGTTGTCCACGAGGCGCATTTTCAGACTCATTAATCTGAGCAACAAAAGAGTGAAACAGTAATGCTTCTAGCGGGGAATTCTACTTACCGCCTTAGCTACTATCTCGGCATTTGCTGGTATGTCCAATGTGGCCTCAAATAGAACCCATGCCCACTTGTCGCTTTGAGCTCCATCAGAGACGTATGGCACATTGCTTTTCTGATATCTATGAGCTTCAACCCATGTTTTACCCCCATCAACAGATATATCTACTCTCTCAATGCCGCGGCCGCCGCCTGAGACTGCATATCCAGCAATTCTAGCCTGCATAGAGCATGCAAACCAGTGTGTACAACTCATCAGAATGTACTGATGCTACCTACACAAGCTGCAGTATCAGCTTACGCATCCCTTTCTATCATGGAAGTAATGCTAACCTTTCCTTCCTTGATAACATCCACATCTTCCAGGGTGCAAATAGCAGACTGCTTGGTCAAATCCAAAAAGAAATTAAGATAAAATAGACTTGACTTCATTAACACAGAAGCAAAAAAACAAAGGTTTTATGAGAACTAAGTGCTTCAATGTTTCATAGGTGCATCCTGCAATAAATACATAAACAGAACAAACTCATGGTAGATTAATATCTACCAGAATACCAGCTCCACTAATCATAAAAGGCCACATCTAAGGCAGGACACAGCATTCTGTTCCATAAATTTAGAACCCATCTAGAATATTCTTGAATCCAATGTAGATCATTTTAAAATGGCAGATAATCGCAAGGAAGGAATATGCAAACAGCCTCCGGCCCAGTATCTGCCTTCTCTATAGTAAATGGATATGAGACTAATCAACTTTTCTGTTCACAGGGCATTATAAAAAAATTCGTAACTGCAGTATATTGTAATGTCTTTTATTTGCGTGGATTTAGTCCATTGTAGTTGACAAAGAAAAAGATGTTTAATAACATCTAGCAGTGGGTTCTGAGTATAACTACATAATTTACTAACTGTGATTACTTCAACAGACAAGGGAAGAATTGCCAGTACATTATACCTGCACAGGAAAATCCATTTGTGGTCTTCTAGTTGACCAATTAATATTGTCCCAATCTACGGTAGGTGGGAACATCTTGTAATCTTTTTGCATAAAAAAACCCTGGTTGAAAACAGCAATCAGTGTTTATTCCCAGAGATTATATTGAAGAGGTACTGCACTTAAATTTTCAGTAAACCTGGCATTCTTCCTTGATTATGTTGATGCTGTCAAGCCATTTTACGGAGCGTGCACCTATAACACCAGGTACGACCACACGGAGTGGATATCCATGGTCACGATTGATGGTCTATACATCGTAAATCACGGCGGGTGAAATACGGAACATAGCAACACAGGAGCCATAACAGCAGAATATTTAGCCAGATAATAAGGTTGCATCTAAATTTGAGCAAAGAACAACTGACAAGTAAACATTTGATAAATCAGAATCTGGTGTAGCAGTGCTAGATGGATAAAGTGCGACACAAAAGCCAACGCACAATAAGCTTAGGGTGGATATATATGTTCAGCAAGAGAAGCTTCAAGTGTTGTTTTCATACTAAACACTCTGCCTTAGGAAGTAAACACCTATATATGCATAATACGCTATTATGTTCCAAGAAAAACCTTATACATATTATGGTATCACAATATGTCAAACTATTGACTCTATTTCATCAAAATCAGCTTCAAAGAAACAAATGCATTAGGTAATAATTAAGTGCTAACAGAAAATCATCTTCAAAGAAACACATGCATGAACAAAAAAGTGAGAAGCAGCAAGCAAAAACTAGGACAAAAACATTCAGAATAACTGATTTTGAAAAATAGTCTGAACCCCAGAGGAACATTAAATCGGTTCAGCTTTCAACTATTAAAAGAAAAAAAAATCAATGCGCAATCACCTCTCCATTCATTTCATATGCGAGTAACACATCAGCATCAGGATCTGTTGCCTGCTTTAGTGGAATTGATGCCTTATAGGGGCCACCTTTCTCCTCCTGAAATACGAAAGTCTCAAGATTACTGAGGTAGGCTACAAGGATTGCTGCTGATCAATAAATACAGACATACTCACTTTACACCTGTCAACACTGACAAACTCAACATGTTTGCCTCCTAAAGATGTGACTGAACTGAGTTTATGTATTCCAACTAGTTCAAGGACATCAGATAGTTTTGCTCCACCCCAAGTTGCTGGAACGATTAGTGCAAAGGTAAAAACATTGTAGAATAACCAAACTACTACCTCTGATCCAAAATATAAGACGTTTTTGCAGGCTAAACCAGCCTACAAAAACGTCTTATATTTTGATACGGAAGGAGTACAAGAGAACAAAATTGTATCTGAATTATATAAGATAATTGGTGAGGGCGATTCAGGCCCATTTTGTTTTTTATGTGCCATATAATAATCAAGCAGGGTATTGTTCTTCATTATGTAGATGAAACAAAGGTACATAGAATAGTCTATGAAAGCACTGAGACTTATAGCAGAAACCTAATTCTAGGGCAAGTAAAAAGGCTCACGATACAAGTAAACTCCCTCCACTTGTACTATTGTTATCCCTACAATTCTTGTGGTACGCTAAATATGTTCATGCAGTAATGGTAACAGCATGCCCATTTCTGGGTGTCAGCAGTCAGAAATATGGGTGCATTTCTATAATAGAATTAAAATGCATTCCTTACATTCAGAAAATTCAGATTACCATAATGCGCCTCTTACCATTTCCAAGAGCAGATACATCCCATCCAACACCTCTCACTTTCCGCACCTTACTCATTGCAGTTCTCTTATTGCCTGCACACTTTTATATAACAATTATATTGTTAGATCACTATTTACTAGCAATACTCATACATTAGCCACCATAGAAATTAGAAAGATAAGAAAAGCATTAAAGGGACTTGTCGCAAACCTGTAATGTTGCAGTGACATTGTACTTCGGAAGCATCCTGAGTGTGAAATTTGTGTTGATTATTTACTAAAAGATAATAAGTATTTGAAGGTGCATGATAAGAGATTAAGAAGAACATTACCTAATGTCATCCATGGACAGCTGGATATGCTTATTCATGAGGCCACTGATGGAAACACTGTATCTGTTCAACGGTCATATAAAAGTATAAGGTTTGGTCCTACATTAAGGGTTTGTAATATAAATTATAATGATACATGATATGTATAGTTCTTTCTATAAAAATGGAAACCTTGAGATATCATCAACTTTGGGAATTGGTCCATGATTCCTCTTGTAGAAGAAATCCACTGGGGTGATATAAGATGAAACTAACGCAGATCGATGAGGCTCAGCATTAAATGGCTCCTGCAGAAAAGCAGACAACCCCACCAGGTCAGTGCTATAAGATTCAAATGAAGTGGGGTGAAACATATTGCGAACGTGCTAAATAGAACTCCTCTATTTCTTGTCCTTTCTAGGAATCAGGTATTGTTTCTATAAGCAATGACTTACAACGAAGCGTAGGAATGGGTTCCAAGACAAACTGAGAATACATCAACCTAGCCCGTCCAAATTAATCCAAAACACACAGACAAGTCACAAATGCGTACTTATTCTTTTTTTCCCATCAATATAAAGGAAAAGTTCCTGCTGCACAAGAAATGGTACTCCTATAGAATGTTGTAATTAATTCACATACATGTCACATACTCCCTCTGTCCCCAAATACATGACGCATAAATTTAGTCAAAAATTCAATGCTTTCTAGGTTTGACCAAATATATAGAAGAAAATATCAACAACTATAATATTGGATGAATACATTATCAAAATATATCTAATGATGAATATATTGATATTGATTTGGTATTATTTATCTTAATATTTTTGTATACATTTGGTCAAACTTAGAAAGCATTGACTTTTTGACTCAGTTTATAAGGCATGTATTTCCGGACGTAGGGAGTAATCTGGTTCTACATTTGTTTGAATAAAAAGTTTCGCCAATTGCATGCGTCTAATAAAAAAAGTTTTCTTATTTGTCTTTTTTCTATCTTCCCATTCATCTCCACTACACCCCTCGTCTTCTAATTCCTTCCGTTTGACTAAGCAATTCTCTATAATAATTCACAAATCCAAATCTGCTAATTGTTCCCTAATAGCAGCTGCTCCTGTTGCAATTTTCTGATTTTGAAATGTTGCAAAGCCTGGGGTAGAAGAAAAGGGAGAAATGTTGTGGTTACAGGATGCAACTTCCTCTTCAAATAAACCTCGTAATCGTATGCTAGGCCCTCCAACTTCTTAAGAAGGAAATCCACATAAGTATTTTTCATACATATGAATAGAGACCATTACGACGAAAGTTCGAGTTTGCGTGTTTCGAGTCAACGGTCAAGTTCCTCAAACAAATCTCCTAGAGAAATCAGCTCACTCCATTCCGACAACTTGTGAGAAATCCAGGAATAGCTGTTGTTACTAAATGCTAACTACACGTAGCAGCAGGCTGGAATCCCAGTTGGAGTGTACTGGAACGAGGACTTCATCGCCCTAATCAGAACTGGAGAGGGAACCCCGATCGTGCGCCTTGGTACCGGCAGTCGAACGCGCACCTCATCACTATACTAAAATCCCGAGCCTAAACACGGACGCCCGATTGACGGCTCATATCAGCAGCCGGACGCGCCATGGCATAAACGGCGACGCCCGCGATCCCCCCCGCCCCGACGCGGCGGCGCACAAATCCAGCATCCCCAGGCCGCGAATCACCAACCCATGCCGCCGCCCGCGCCGCGACATGCCAAACCCACCCGCGCGACCGAACAGCAGGTACGAAGGAGGGCGGGCGAACCAACCTTGGAGTTGATCCTGAGGGCCGGGTGGCGCGGCGGCTCCTCCGCGTAGTCCGACGGCGCCGTGAGCCCCGGCATCTCTCTTCCTTCGTCTTCGCTTGGTCACTGGCCGTGGTTCTGGTTTTTTGACAGGCACGCACGGGGAGTATATTTTGTAGTCGCAGAATTTGGGTGACGATGACACCGATGATTGTGGGTGTGTGGTGAGTCGGGAACTGCAAAGCCGCCGCTCCATGGCCTAACATTCGCTGTGCCATGACATGCGGGCCCTCTCGTCTCTGAAACAGGGGTCTGCCCCGGTTTCATTTCGTTGAAACGAAACCACAGAGCGTTTAGCTACATTGTTTCGTTTTATACGAGGCGAACGGCTCTCTTCATTCCATTCTCTTTTTTCTTCCTTTTTTAGAAAAAAACGTGAGAATTTATTATGATTATTTAGACAGATCATTCTCAAGTCTGCCTATGGTCTCCGCTGCTAGTAAAAGAAAAAAACTTAGGCTGCGTTCGGTTTGGAGGAATGATGAAGGAAATATGCACGGAAATAAAAAGAGAGGAAGTTATACTGAAGTGCCATTTGGTTTGTAGGAAAGAAGTGATTTTATTCCATAGGAAAGTTTCTACAGCTTGTACTTTCACAGGAAACTAAACATCCATCACAAGCATGGGAAATGAGAGTTGAGGCCTACAACACGAGGGAGAAAGTTCATGCATGACAGTTATTAATTAAAACATTGTATCCTGGTTGCTGGGTCCCATTTTTCTGCATGGCCTTTGTTTCCTTTCCCATGAATAGAGCAGTTCAAATTTTTTCCTTCACATGTTTCTACATTCACAGGTTTTCGGTGGCACCTCAATTATATTCATATACAGTTTTCTTTCCTTTGTTTTCTAAACATCGATTCCGAACGAGGCCTTAGCCGTTGAGCAATGTCTCATTATCGTGTGCCTCACGAGTAAACTTCTTCATGTCGGCCGCCTCTTTTTTGGCATTGGCAAGATCATCCTTCGCTTGTTTTGAGTTTCTTCAGTAAATTATCGTTCTCTTGTCGAGTTTTCTGCATCACGAAATGGCAAACATAAAAAAATCGGTCACTTATGCCCAAATTAAACCTCGAGGGCTACCGGGCTTCGCGCTTTTGTAATTTAGATATATTATAACTGAGCACCTTTCCTGCCCTCTCAGGCCATTAGCATTCGTGGCCGTTGGATCGTCACTTTTGGGCGTTTTCTGCCATCCGATTGTCTCTTAATTGCACCCCCCCCCCCCGTCGCTTCGTTTGATCCTAACGAGCGCTAACCCTTCTTGGGCCGCTGCTCTGGTGGCTTTTTTCGGCTTCTGGGATTAAATTGGGCCTACCAGGCCTGTAATCGTCCCTTGCGGGGAGGCCGAGAGACTCTCTCACGCGCAGCGGCTGGGGCAAGCACGGCCCATCGGGAAAAAGAGCGGATGTGTGAGATGTTGTCATTTCTCCTCCCCGCAACCACTCCTGCGCGTGGCGGCCAGGGTTAGTGATGTTCGATCCTCTGATGAGGAGCGGTGCGAGGCGAACGGATGCAAGACATGGCTGATTTGCGATCAGACCCCATTCCCCCGACCTCTTTCTCTTCCCCCTTGTCTAGCAGGCCATCGCGCTACACCGGTGTCGACTTCGAGCGGCAACGCACCTTCCCCGGCCTCAACCTCGAGCAGCGGCACCGCCAAACTCAGCATCCCCTTATGCGCTGCCGCCCAACATGGCCCTCGTGCTGCCGCACTACTCCATGCTGGCTATAGGTACAACTCGTATTTCCCTCTTACGCAATATGCTCGATCGTATATCCCACAAGCAAGTCATGGCTGCAGACGACCTCACGCAGCATAGTAGGAACAAGAATATCTTAATTACGTGAGAATTTTGACATAATCCAAGGCCCCCGACACTGATCGTAGATACACTCAGATTGAATCATGTGAATTCCACAGTATCTACACAATATATTTTTTCTATTTATCCTAGGAATCCCAAATAAACTCAAATTTCTCTTTCTTTTTTATATGATGGAGTTGTATCTTTGAAGTATGCACTGTATGTTGCTGATAAGTTTTTAATTGGTTCTTTCTCTTTTACAAAATCAGGCAGAAAAGAGAAGAACAAATCTTTTTTTAGTTTAACAGAGAAAAGTTGAAACATGAAAGACGCTTCAGTTCTGTCAGAGGAATGGACGTCCAAGTATCTTGTGTTTCACTTTGAGGGGAAACCGCATCAAGAGAAATCAAGAATCCGTTGTCTAACAAGGTTTAATAAATGTCTATGCATTTCTCTTATTTATTTTATGTATTCATTGCTCATTTTTTATTTCTCTCTTCATCTTTTGAAATTAGTACAAAAACCAACATATTTCCAAACTGCTGTGCAGAAACTAATATTTGAAGCCGACATGAACAACGAGGATGGTTATCTGCTTCTTTAAGCCATCCAATGTCTCATCAATTCCTTTCTTGGCAGCTCCTGACAAAATACAAATTCATTGTTTCAGAAAGAAGTGAGCCTCAGTTTTACCTAAATCCTTCAGCACGGAATCTGCAAATCATTTGTACGTTTTTTCTTTCTTTTTCCACAAGATATTTAGTATTAGTTTATATGCATACTGCACATGTTAATGTTCTTTGTGATTGAAGGCTACCTAAATATGCTTACAAATTGCATCCTGCTCGGGTTTTGTTTTCATTGCAGATGCATACCAAAAAAGCTTGCCATTTACATGATGCACTTCGAGCCATTGTTTGACCAATCTGAGCATTTGTTTTATACAGAATTTTACTACAATCCTTGCTCTATTTGTAGAAAAGGTTAGCACACTGACTTCAACTGGTACGCGTGGGGGTGGGTTTTACAGATCACAAACCTGAATGTGATATTGTCATTTTAAATTGTTATCTTGCCCGTATTTGTCTTCTGTCATCCATCAATTGGCGTATTGTACTATAAATCTTTCTATCACTTTGTTCAACAGAACCCAACTTTTTGTTTATAAATCTTCCTACCCTGGTTTGTTCATTCTACAGTTTAGAATGTACTTTGGACAAAAAATGTTGACATTCTCCATTTGGCTCTTTGTTTAATCATTCTTATATTGTGATGCGGTGCTACATAGAGTTACCTGAGCTTTTCATTGTGTATACCCATGCTAAAAACAGGTATGTTCTCTTAAGTAGTGATAGGCTATCAATTATTATGATTTACATACGCCGTACATTTTTTTAATTATATTTATTCATGCATGTGACTCTTTATGCCAACTTTGAGGCTGTCAAGCCAATATCTACAAAATAATTGTCCCTGGGAGTTGCAAGATGCACTGTTTAGTAGTTGGGTCATGATATTGTCTTCTCGGTTGCTAATAACGGAGCACAATACAAGTTGAGGAGAGAATACTCCTTTATTATGATGTTGTTCAAATGCAAACTGATAATATATTGAAGTGGTACATCTGGAAGATAAATCTCCATATGCAGCGATCTTCGTTGAGAGAAAAAAGGAAATCTTGCACTTTGCCCAAAATTCTTGTCATTTAATATGATATACATAGTATACTCACTACAGTTTGTGCTGGTTGTTCCATCTTGGAAGGCATTCTCCAATTGCAACCAAATTTAGGGTCCATTGACTCTCGATGCTGTTTGGCACAAATGATTGTGAACCATCACCTGGGCCATGAAAATTTGAACTGGTGATCTCAAGCGAGAAATTCAACGTAGTTGAATTACAGCTTTTTTGACTGCATATTAGCCTCTTCTCCAACAGGAAAAGCTGAATTGCCAGCGCTTATACTCATTTAAATACATTATAACTGAGCATCCTTCCTGCCCTCTCAGGCTATTAGCATTTGTAGCCGTCCGATCAACACTTTTAAGCGTTTTTAGTCGTCCGATTATCACGTACGCTCGGTTCGCTCACTACGAACGAGCGCTACCGTGACGGGCCGCTACTCTGGCAACAATTTTGGGCGTCCGCTGTTAAATTGGGCCTAATGGGCCTGAGCTGTCTATTTACGTGCATCCAAAATGAGCTGGACTCTCCACGCAACCCTCGTTCTGCTCGCAAGGTCGCAACCCTAGCGTGGCGGCGGATGATGGGACGATGCACGACTCCCGTGGCGATGGCGCTGGGCTCCGACGACACAAGGACCTCCTTCATGCTGACCTCTCATGCCGACCTCTCATGCCCTCCCGCCATTGGTGCCCCTGACCACAACATCGAGCAACGGCGTTCACCGTGAGACATGATTTGCCGGAAGGCGGCACCAGTAGATCCGGCGTCCCAAACAACTGCCGTCCAAAGGCAGGGTGAACACACTCCCGAGCAGGTGTGCCTCTTTCTCTTTCTCCTCTGCTCTGATCTAACACCCGTCGCTGGGGTTGCCTTCTCTTGTGCGCTCCTCTGTTTTTCTATTGTTCCCGTGGGGATTGGTTGGTTGGTTAGTCCTGTGGGTTCTGCAAGTGCGATTCCTTCCTTGATCGTTGGGACGGCTAGGGATTCCGTTCCTTGTTTACTGGATGATATAAGGACATTGGAAATGTTTGTTTTCGATGAACACAAATTTTCAGCATCAGATGTGCTGTTGACTGGCTTAAAAACCATTTGTACTTCTCTCTCTCTATATATGCCATATGCGTGATGAGTCGAGGCGTTTATGAAAAGTTTGAATAATTCAGCGTGGCCGCCGCCGCCACCACTATCGATGCCACGAGATCCCTCTATCGCCAGAGCAACGAAGACACCCCAGGAGGCAGGTACACACAGCCACGACATCCCTGTATCGCCCGGGCGACGAAGACACCCCCGGCGGCAGGTACACATCGGACACGCACGAGGATTCAACAGCCTGCAAGAAGAAGAAGGCAGGGCGAGTCGCCGCCGCAGGCCTGGTCCAGCTTCTTTCTACGCCATATTTGAACTTCTCAGCAGCGCCATTGCTGGATCCTATGTCGACCGAGCACCCGATCAGCAAGAAACGATCGCGCGTCATATGATCTCTGGGCGCGATCGAAATGCAGGCAACATCGATCGCTAGCTGATGGAGTCACGGCGGGTCAC